CCACCCTATGGGATTTAACATGGGATTACATGTTAATCCTATGACATAGACTTAACATGGGTAATGCTAATCCTATGGAGCTTTTCCCATAGACTTAACATGGGCTAATGTTATCCTATGGGTAATGTTAATCCTATGGGAGAAAATTTCCTATGGGAAAGCGAAATATGAAGGGAAAGGGTAGTTTTTCTCCATGTTAATCCTATGAGACTAATGTTAAGTCTATGGAAGAATGCTTTAACATGGGTTTCTATGGGATTACAGCTTAAGTCTATGGCATAGGAATAACATGGGCAATGCAAAGTTTATGGCATAGTGATAACATGTATAATGCTAAGTCTATGGGAGTAATGTTATTTCAATGAGATAATGCTTTTTCTATAGAGATATACTAAATGAATCTGACAATAAATAGAACTAATTCTTGTAAAAAACATTCAAAATGTTCAAAATAACAATAGTGAAAGTATTCCAACAATCGTATTAAAAAATTTAAAATCTTTTGATGCATTTCCAGAATAGTGGTTAACGTATAGCATCGCTGTGTGATCCTTGTTTTGTCATATTTCATAATTGACCTATGGCAAATATATAAATTTTAAAACATATTTACAGAATGAAATAACTAAAATATGGTTTTATATGTTTTTATTAATAAAACCATGTTTTTCCATTTTCAAATTACGTGTGTTTAATCACGTTTTATGTGTTTAAACACATGACCCCTACACTAATCGTGTATGTGCATAAATATTTAAATACAATACCCCATGATCATATTCCAGTGTAAATGATTCCCCTATTGTAAGACTAGAAATTGCTTAATTGCCACAAATTGCAACCGAAAATGCAGTTATGCTATAATTATTAATGTGGGTATCATTACTATCGCCATCGAATAGACAATTGATCATATCGATTAATCGGCGGCCATTAATGAGCATGATTGCCCGGAAACTCAAAAATTGTATGGCCAAAATATCCATCACTGTATTAATAAGACCCTGGCTAATTACGCTCCTGGAGTTAATATTGAATAAACGATCTCGGACAATGAATGATGTTTCATAAGAAATTACAATGATTACCCTATAGACCATTGCCTCGTAACATAGTAAAATATTACGTTTGACCTTACTGAAATTGTTGGATACTCTTTACTATCTTGTATCATCCGATATATCGGACACCTGTACAGTGTACACAACTTTTAGCCCGATTCCAATTAGTGGTCGAGATTATGGTGCCGATGCCGCGGCACCGGCACCAGTTTTAACTATACCGGCACTGAACCGGCACTGAACCGGCACTGGTAAAATATATGCTGTTGGTAAACATAAAAAATTACTTTTTGTATATTTAATAGTACGCAAAGATTGCGTTTAATATTTGAAAGATATATTTAAATGTGAGAAATCACATTACTGCACATGCTCTGTTAGCACCAGCACTGGAACGGCACCAGCACTAAGTTCCATAACATTAAGCGGCACCGGCACTCTAAAATCGTGATTTTTCGATCACTAATTCCAAACGCCAAACGTAATGCCCAACAATTGGTTCAACTTTCAAGAATATACTGTTATTTGTAGCCATTGTTGACCTGCTGTTGTTTATTAAATCTTTATGGTGTTTAATATAAATTATTTCATCATGTTAAACGTGATCGCTATGATGTTTGTTGAACCATAACTTAAACATATTGATTGAATTTAAATTAGTTTCACTTGAAATGATCATTTTGTTTATGCAGTTTTCATGTGATATGTAATTATGGTGAATACATTTATTATTCAAATAGTCAATTTATATTTACTTTCGCGACAATGAAGTTAATATTTAACCACAATATTACTGATCACATCACGATCTTCTTATGCAGATAATTTCTAGATATTTTGATATACGCATAATTAGTTTGTTTTATAAATTAGTTTAATTTTACCTAAAGTAATTAAAATTTTTAACCAAATTATCAATGGACCATTACAAGGGCACGCTGGGCGGGTAAAACTGGGTAAACGAAGGTAAACTCTAATGTATTGTCTATGGGAGCATAGAGGCAAAGCCTAACTTTTTTGTGATTTTGCGTGCTCCTGGACTATTATGATAGACAGAAAAAATACTTTTACATTTTATAAATAGAGACATTTAAAAATGTTGTGGCCATTATCTCATTAATCCACCAACATTAATCACATCCTAACTTTACTCATAGGATTAGCATTGTAATACACTTAACATTTCCAATGTGTTTTATAAACATTTATGTATAATTAAGCAAACTGTAAAATAGCTCATTTTACAAAATTTATTAATTTAACCAATATATTAATATTATTCGATTGATACGGTATGTAGATTGTATGTAGATGTAGATTCAATGCATAGATAGCGCGCGCGTCGAGAGTTACACAAATTATATGGATGACAGAAATCATCCCAATTATTAACACAGTATATGCTATGCATTAGTGCTTTGTGTGGAGTGTATGAGTGGAGTGTATGTGTTTGCATAGGGCATGCGTTGTAAACGGTTTGTTTTGTTGTTATTATTGTATGGATAGAGGAAAATGCCCATAAATTATGTGATGAATACTCTTGACACCATTGGCGCGTTTCAGGGACATTACTTAGCGTAAGTTCAAATTGAAATAAGTTTAAGTTTGAACTTAACTTAAGTTCCATTGTGTTTCTCGAAAAAACTTGGACTTAACTTAAACTTAGTGCCCAAAACCAGTTTTTATGCACTGGACATCACAGAGGGTATTGCAGTGAAGAGGACACTCACTCCACATACACACACTCCACACACGCGTTCTCCTCTCTCTGCATACAAAACATATGCAAAGTGAGGGTAGAGTGAAGGCAAGGGTTGGCGTACATTAAGCACACAAATTAGGACTTACGGAGTTTAATGAAACGCAAATATAACCTGAGGGCAACTTAAATCTATGCTTCTAGACTTACGCCTAACTTAAACTTATCTTACAAACATCTCTTGCACTTCTTTATGAAACGCAAAATCATGCATAAGTTAGAAAATGGACTTAAGTTTCTTTATGAAACAAGCCACATATTCCTATTTAAGTAGGAATATGGGGTTATGTCTGACGTTATTTACTTTCAAATGTACATTTCTAGCAAGTAAGATAAAATTACACGTAGACAACAATTTAATCATAATGTACTTTTAATTGTGATTAAATTTTAGCCATAAGGTTGTCATAATTCAAGAACAGATAGAAGACATGCTGAATGTCGATAGCGTGGAAAGTGTCGGTTCAGGCAATATATCCCCAACAAACCGGCCAAATATGGCATAAAATTGTTTATGATTTGCGATGTTCTCAATAATTATGTGTGGTCAGCGGATGTATACTTAGAACGTGAGACAAATGCAGACAAAAATGCCAATCAATAAATGAAAGTTGTTTTAAGACTAATTCATGACTTTAGACACACCGGCCGTAACATTATCGCAGATAATTGGTTCACTAGTTTCCCACTTGTAAAGGAATTGTGTATCAATGGATTGACATACACGTAAGGACATAACTCAGTTCCTTTTTATTTGTTGAATAAAAACTCTCCTGATGGTTCAATCAACAAGGTGACTTCACAGAATTATTCTATAGATAATGTAGCATAATTCCCTAATTGAGACTATTTTTGTATCTATCATGGTTATTTTGTAATTTTAATTTTTAAAAAAGTTAAATTTCAAAAAATCTCCATAGAAACCAATAGGACATTTTCAAAGGATTTTGTACGTTACGAATATGAAAATGACATTCATTATTAAAATGTCAATATTTATTATAAACTTTATTATTTTGACTAATTTAATTAATTTAAAGGACTATGACCAACATAGCATTAATTGCTTTAATTTGAAACAAGAATCACACAGCGATGTTATACGTTAACCACAATTCGGGTGTAACGAAGATCGAAGGGTATTCGGTCTATAAATTCAAATTATATATAAAAATACTCATCAACTGCGGGAGTTTTTGTTATGATATATTACACTTTGTAATCATGTCTTAGTGGTAAAAATGTCAAAACAAAAGTAGTGGTCAAAATATACCTCACTTATTTCTTTGATTCTCAGGGCAGCCATTTTTATTTGGAAGATATTGAATCTCTCCTCAAATGAAGGTCAATAGTTGACAAAAATGATGGCCGATATAAATTCTGAATTACTATTTTGGCTATTAATAAAAAATAATTTTCATTTTACTCTGAGATTTTCGCATTAAATAAACGCATACCCAATATTATATTTTAACACAATTTAATTTAATATTGGGAGCTAGGGCCAAATGTGATTGTTTTATTTTGTCGTTTATTTTTTAAATTAACATTAACTTTATGTTTATTTTAATATTATTTTGATGCAAAACCTCTCATTGAATTTACAAATAACAAGTATTCGAGTAAAAGTATTCGGGTCTACTATTTCGAGTCCACTGTTTTCATCACTACTCGTATCGGAAATCCTAATTGTGGTTAAAAATTATGATACAATTAATGTGTTGTTTATTAACTCATTATTCATAACAATTATTCAATATATTTCTGGTGTAGTGTGTGTCCAGCGGTCGGCGGCACTGGTTTTGTATCGACGGTTTGACAATCAGTTTGAGATCAGGTTTCAGATCACTATAGATATAAAGTAAACACACAATCAATTAATGGCTTAAATCAATGGCTATAATATTGGTAGAATATAATGACATATTGTTTGATTCAATGGTGGCAGTACTTTTACCCGAATACTTTTACCCAAATACTTTTGCCCGAATACTTTTGCCCGAATACTTTTGCCCAAATACTTTTGCAACTTTTTTCAACCCATGTCAGAAACCAGTCGATGACAGCCGCAGATGATGGTCAATAGTAGCAGTCAATGGCAACAACGGCTATCCCACCAATGGTGCTGACAATCACATCCACTTCCAGTCCCGACAGCCAATCACTGGACAACACGTGCGATGAGTATGTGTTGTGTTATTATATGTTATTTTAAATCATGGTTTTAATTGAGGTATGTATTTTTCTTATAATATTTAGCGATTCAGACACTGATATCGAAATCGTGGACACAATACCGGCGGTAAACACCGGCCAAACACTCAATAAATGCCCAACATTTTACTCGTAAACAACAAGCCGTGCCTTAAGTACTGTTTGAATCACATTATTCGTATCAGAATTATAATTAAAAATTGTAAAACAATTGAATAGATGCTAGAAATGCGGTACGGATTGTGTAATCACATCCCTGTGCGACAGAAGCCGAGGGCACGGGTGATGTCTGAACCGATGGCTATTGCATTGAGCGGTTGTGTCAAACAGTTTGTCACTCGTATTCTTGTGATTATTTTTTTGCCTCAATTTCATTATGGGTTTCTCTAATATGTTTGTTATTTTAATATTGATTTAATTCATGTGATTAACAGTGATTTCACAAAATGTTTGACTCAAATGCACTGTATTTTCAAAATAGCGTTCAATACCAGAAACTGTGGCCTATTTTATGTCTTAAACTAGATTTTGACACTTTTGGCATTTCATTTCATTCAAAAAACACAACTTTTGTGAAAAAATAAATATTGTTTTGTAGACAAAGCAACTAAGAAAATGTTAAACTAACTTACATTTATAAAAAAAGCAACTAAATATCAACTATATTTAAAACTCATTTTATTCATTGGATCACAATTGTGTGTAAAAATAAATTTGATTTTAAACAAAACTTTTTGCACATTAATTATTAAATTTTTATTTGTACAGTATATTGCGATAATTATTTAGTTTTGGGAAATCGGTTTACATTTCGTTATCTGTTTTTAAATTAATACCGAGATTTTTTGTCTAAATTGTTAAACAGCAACTATCTTAAACAGCAATATTACAGCAACTATCTCTATATAACAATAATTCTCGTAATTTATTAAAATCAGAATAAGAATTGCTTATTACTAATCTAGAATAAAACTAAACCAACGTTACGCTGACTTTGTCCTATTCTCCAAAGTACCCATAATTTTACTTTATATTTAAGATTTAATTGTTATAACTGTTCACTAAATGTGCCCATGATACTATTGATATTGTTTATTAATCAATCATTTCTCAATCAATACATATAAAATTAATCATTAATAATTTATTGTTTTAATTTACCAAATTTTTATTAAAACAATTATTTAATTCTTATTATTTTCTTATTAAAAGAATTTAAACAAAAGTGCTCAATAATCCAATTACTTTTATCAGTCAAAATGTTCTATACTACAATTATTAATGTATTTAAAATTACAGTATGTAAACTATTTATTATATTCGCTAGTTCTAAAATATTTATAATAAATTATATTATTATTAGATAATTTTAGTTCCAACTTCAAATGTTATAACATAATTCATCTTTATATTGATAATTGAAAAAATTAATTATTTAAATAATTTATAAATTAAGCAACTTAAATTAAAATCTAGTTAAACAATTATTAGTTGTATATTTCAATTATTAATAATGTATAATGATTAACAATAGTTTACTTTTAATAATATAGCGTGGTATTTGTTTTTATGTTAGTAACATGTCAGTTTTTATGTTATTATTCAGAGCATTTATGTGTCACTTTGATTGAGCTTAAATAATGTAATTACTTTTTAAACATTATTTGTCACATTAATATATTTATTAAGTTATGTTAAATTATGATTTGTTTTGCATAACTTTAATTTATTAAACTGTAATTTATATAAATGTGAACAATTATATTCATGCGTTCATTCAATTCTTATTTAAAATGGGGGACAGAAAGAAGACACTAAATATTTAAACATATATTTTTATTAAACGTGTTAAATAAAGTTTTATCTATTTATAATAAATATTTCGGCAACATTATTTATAAGAAAATTGATAAATTTATCACCGTGGTTGGTGGTAATTAACTACATGGTTATATTAATACTCTGCCAGATTTGAATTGAATTGTAGCTCCTCAATTGTGATTCAATTAGTCATTGAAAATAATCCATTGTTTAAAATTATAAATAAATATCTATATTATAAAATATTTCAATAAAAATATATATTATATACTTGTATATTAAATTCTACCAATTCTTTATGCTTAAACTTGCTCATTAACATAATTGGATTGTACTTGATTTGATTACAGGTTGTAACATACAGTACAAAACTTTTTAAAAAATTAACATTGGTTAATTAAACTTCCATTAACAATACAATGTAATTTTATTTGTATTTATCCGATTTTACCCGCTGAAAAATAATAATCAAGCGAACTTTAATTTATAAGTCAATAAAAGCTTAACTGTTTATTTAATATTTTAAACCTGAACCATCAAATTATGTTAAACGGTGGATGATGAATTGCCCTGCCCTACCCGTGCATGCCCGACCCTGCACGGCCCGTGCACGCCTGCCCTACCCGACCTGTCCACGCCTGCCCTGCCTGACCCTCCACGGCGTTGTCCTATCCGACCCCAATTAATTAAATTAGTTAATTTAAAATAAATAGGAAATTTTTGTACTTTGTCAAAGATTATTTTTGTAGAAATTATTTATACAGATGGCAATTGGATTTCAATAAAATAACATAAAATAGCATATGATTAAGTATTATATTATGAAATATAATATTGGTATAAAATTACCACATATTTTATATTTTCAAACAAAATACAATTTTGTTGAAAAATTGTTAAATTTAATTAAATAATTAACATTTAAATAAATGCCTTGTTGTGCGTTCGGACAGCAATACCATTGAAACAACGGGACAGCTCTGCGGCCGTCCTCTTAGTGTCGGACACTTCGGCCGACATTCCCGACGACCCAACACTTGAACTCGATCTCCACGCGGCCCGCAGTCCACCCAATAGGCACGCCGTCGTGTAGAGGGCTGGGGGTTATGGGCACCAGACTGTTAC